AAGTGATACATGCAAAACATTTTTATAAATAACAGCTGATATGGTTGTTTTGTTATTTTCACTTTTAAATGAATTAATAATTATTTTTCAAATTATCGTTATATGTTAATAATTATTACAGTAAAACAATCAATTATACTTTGATCGAAAACATTGTCATTATTATTGTTATGATTATCATAACAGTTGTAGTTATTGTTACTGTAACAAATATAGATAAAACCATTATAGTAGTCAAAATCCTTGTATTATTCAAAATCATCATCATTGTTACTATTATCATAACCATTATTATAATTATTATAATCCTATAATCTCAATGATTATTATTTTACTCATTACAATTATAAATATAATTGTCATAGTTAGCATAATAATTGTGATAACCATTATCATTATCATTATAATCATAAAAATCATCATTATTATTATTACATTCATTATAATCATCGTGATTATTGTCATAGTTATCATCGTCTTTATTACAACTTTCACCATTATCATCATTATCAGAACTTTTGAATCCAACACAAAGTGAAGCACTTTGGCTTGGTCATTCGGATATTCAAATAATTTTTTGGAGGTATGCAGGGCCCAGCAAATACTACTCTGATGCATTCTTTCATATATTAGGGGCTATTCACGGTGGAAAAACAAAGCATACGCAGCATTGGCTTGTATATGTATGTTTAAAAAAGCAGAAATCAGAAGACTTATGTTTTCATAGATATAGATATACTCCAGCCAATGCTGCTTATGGTCCAGGATTCTGCATCCACTGTGAATAGATAGATAGATTTTAAAGATAGAAATAATATTTGTTGAAATATGTCAAATAACGCGTATCGTCATGAAACAATATTTTAATAATAATTCTAATGATTTAATACATTTATTCATTATTTAAATGAACTGTGCAAGAATATTTTAGACAATCGTATACTTTTGCTAATGCAAAGAGATTAAATTTTTTTTAATCTACTTTAGATTAATTAACGTTAAAAATTTATTTCCAAACTGTATTTTCTATTTCTGAATTATTATCACGTTCTATTTGAAAATAAATTTCATTTTTATTTTTTATTTTGATAGCGTAATGTATAATTAATCATGCGAAAACAGTTATTTTTTTCAAAAATAATCTAATATGATCAGTCGATGTGGGTGCTGCCCGAAGCCAATAGCCCCAATCCGGTTAATCCCAAATAGGCTCTTTACTCGCTGTCACTGTGCTTCCTACATATTGGGATCCCAAAACGTATATGACTTTCGCAATATATATAGCCGAGATATTGACATACACCTTCTGGGGATAAATCTGTTTATTTATTTTACTCCTAGAACGGTTGTAATATTATAAGAGCTTTTAAATAACATGTTTTCGAGGGAATAATGGTACAGCAACTAATTTTTCCCCAACTAATTTGTTACTTAAAGCTTAAAACCTCACTTCGTAAGTGTGAAATACACATTTAATGTGTACAAATTCATCTCGTCGCTGTCTATATATAGGTGTACAAATAGGACTTTCTTACAGGTTGAATAAGCATTCTTACTTTCGAAGTAAGGTTTTGAGCGTCAAATAACGACTGAGTTGGGAAAAAATTAGTTGCAGTACCGTTATTTTCTCGAAAATCTGTTACTTGCAAGCTTTGACAGTATTACAATCGTTGCAGGCGTAAAAAAAAAGTAAAAACAGATTTGTCATACATATACATGTATATATATTGTGAAAATCACGTGACGTTTTGGAATCCCAATAGGAGGTCAAGTGTGACTTGACATCAGCACCATCCCGCGGTTAACTATCAAGTCATCGCGATGTAAGAGTATTAGAGAATTGATTTGTTGGACACCACAAACAAGTCTTTACTCTTACATGAAAAATCTGGACGAGATCGATTATCCATAGTTCGCTTGTTTGCACTCAATTGGAACAAATGCTTAAACAACTTGGGGAAACATGAATCGTTCGGTGAACCGTACATTTCTTAAGAGGCTGTTGATATAGACGCAACGACACGACACATTACCGTTAGTTTTAAATAAGACTACGTGAAACTGTCACGCCTACGTGAATAGCCCATTTAGCATTGGTTCTAAGGGTGAATTTAGACTATGCCGAGCTTGCATGCGAAAGTGCACATGCGGAACTATAGTCAGCCAAAAAAAGAGGCTCTGCATCTGTCAGTCTGCAAAAATTTTGTAACCTCGCTTACACTATGCGACACGCTCTATACTAAATGCCATTTGAGCCCATTAGAGTGAGCAAGACGAGAGGTGTATGTCTTACTCTCTCAGCCTCACAGGCTTAAGCGGCGCCCATAGTATCAACGGAGGACACAAAACTCTTGCGGATGCGGTTATGGCTCGTATACAAAACAGTGTACAACTAGGTAATACATATGCGTTTTTGTACATCTTTGATAAAAAAAAAAAAAAAAAAAAAAAAAAAAAAAAAAAAAAAAAAAAAAAAAAAAAAANTTTATTTTTTATTTTGATAGCGTAATGTATAATTAATCATGCGAAAACAGTTATTTTTTTCAAAAATAATCTAATATGATCAAAACTTTGACCTTCAGATTTATTAATAGTCATTTAAAACGCCGGAGTTAAAGAAAATTGTTTTCTGTATAAAATAAGAGGTAAGATTTATTACGGCCAGAGAGTAAAACCACCATTTTTTCATTTTTATTACATCTTTGAATATTTTTACCTGTACTTAATATTAGGCCTACTTAGAATCCCATATAAGGATGTTATAGTGAAATAAAAAGAACCTATTAGACCTTATTTTCGGAAACACTATGTAATTATTAAAATGATTAAAAATATTTTTACAATATTATCTTTTCGGATATTTGCTGCGATTAGAAACGAGGCCAAAAAATGTCTTGAAAATTTATAAAAAGAAATTTATTAAATTTACACTACTTCTGTTTTTACTCTTTAACTACTTTATGAAGATTTTGTAATTCTTTTTAAATCCAAAAAGCAAACTGAGAAACTAAAGTATTAAACTGATTCAAAACTTGGGAGGTTGGTGCGCGTATCACGCAGGGCGGCAAAGCCCCTCTAATATACATATCTATTCTATTTCTTTCCAGTAAATTTTCCAAGACTTTGTTTACAAGTAGTATTGAAGCAATTTTTTTTTTATGATAAAAAGACCTTGAAGATACATTTGTATTGTTGTGAGATTTGACAAAATAGATATTCACCCAACTCTTTATATCAAAGTTTTATTGTTCACTTACTTAATACTCTACCTTCAGTTCTTATTTTAGCAGCAACTTGACATAGAAATCATTTATAATTCATTTTAAAACTCAACTATGTGAAATAACTTTATTAAGAATCATGTATAATTTTATAATTTGTGGTTACATTTGAGATTTTTAAGAAATATTCTGTTTATTTTAGTTCTATTCCTCTCATTTTTATTCTCAAGTTTAAGTAGATCGTTGAATTTGTAGGATAGCTGATGATTGCAGAAAACTTTTACCTGTAAAAAAAAATTTCCTTATCAATAAAAATTATATTTAATTATTAGATTAGATTAGGTAATGAGTGTACTATTAATACATTAAAATAAATAACTTTAGTGTTTGTCGTACACATGAACTGAATTTTCACTCATAATTGAGTTTCATCATTGTGCAATGTCGCACTCAAAATGACAGCTAAAATAAATAACTAAAATAGAGCGCTGATGACTGTCTCACGGTTAGTACACCTTAATAAAATTACATTCACAATTTGCCGATGACTGTCAGTACATAACAAAGTCAAAACCAAATTGTTAACTGGGGACATCAGGGAGCTTAAAATCAAGTAAGGGCTAGCTTAACATCAAGCTAGCATAACCACGGGAGTTCGACAACGTAGGAGCATAAGCCCAACGACTTGCTGTACACTTATGACTGACAGTTTACAAATCTGTAATATCACCTGTTATGAGAATTTTTACGGAATTTGACGAAATTTTACTATTTCCTGGGGCCGTTGGAACTGAAATTGTTTTTTTTTAACCCCCAGGATAACAAACCCACTGCTGGCAATGTTTTCACACAACATTTTTTGCAGGAATTCTTAATGCACTTACTTTGCAAGAGTACGAGAGAAAAGGACTGGAGAGACTGACTGGCTATCTGACCTTAACTTCTCTCCCTACTTAAGTAAGCTATGGTGAACATTTATAGACATTTCTAAAATGAATTTTTTTGTAGTGAGCACATCGTCTTTTTTTTCAAATTGTGGTTGCTGGCTGAACGTGGGTTTAACTATGTTATATAATATATTTACGTGACTGCAGCCATAGTGTATGTAGTATACGGGAATAAATTTACTAAAGTGCATATATGTGTAAGCATCATAATTTTTTTTACGCTGCATCAAATATCTTAATGCTTAAGGATAATGAAGAGTTCATAAGGTCTTTATTGCAGTCTACATATGTATCTCCAAGTTCTACTTACAGTCTAAATTTAAATATTACATTTGTATGTAATACCAGCAGTGAGTTGTATAGTTACAGTTGCTAGTGTTGCCACTTACTTATGTTTAGATTTTAGAGGTTAATTATGGAATTTTATATCGGGGTATTTTGTCTCTTTGTAGTTTTGTAGGGCTATTAGCGATGACTTTAACAGTTTCTTTATTTACTTACTACTTGGGTTTAATAAATATGTAAGTATGATCATATCATGACGTACGATTGCACGAATGTATTTAAGACTTAATGTATGGAACAATTAATAAAAACAAAAAAGTGAATGCACCTCAAATTGTATACTTATTAATATTTATTTGAAGTAATACCTATATTTAACGTTTTGGGCACTCGAAATTTATAAGTATAACATCGATCAGTTTAACCTCCTGGGCGGTGTGGAAAAAATAGATCACTATATACAGCTAAGTGATTGTTTAAAACAAGGAGTAGGAGCTGCCTATGCACACTGTTAGGTACAGCTAGTGGTAGCTTAATCAGTACTTTATCTATAGGCTATTATACAAACACATGAATGAGACTGCGACTAGATACGCTTGTATTCCACAAAATTTATTTAGCCTCCCCATTGTCTCCTGACCTACTTCCCCTACTTGAACTATTTATAAAACCTAGTTTTAAAGTAGATTTTCACCCTTCCCAAGAAGTTTTGCTTACACACGGAGAGAGCTCTGATGCTATGGTAGTATGCGTATCTACATACTACCGGAGTACAGTGCGTAACATACTACAGTAGTGCCCGTGGAACCCAACAGTAGTATCGAGAGTCTGCTACGGTAGTATAAAGACCTATGTACAACTGTGGATCGTGAAACGCCCTACTTAAGCTTCTGCTTAAGTAGCAACCTTTGAGGCGCTGCAGAAGTATCGAATCTCACGTACTAAGTTAGCTCGGGACTCATACGAAATTGGTATGGCTCACGAGCAAACGTAGTATACGTCGTCTGTACTACGCCACTATACCGTTAATAGTAAGTTTGCAAGTTATTGTTATAACTTTAGGATCATTAAAACAATGCCCATGTTGATGAGGTTTATTCAATGGAACGTATTAGAAAATGTTTTTTGTTAGCAAAATTAACCTATACTAAAAATAATAGACTCGTATCATTGTATTTTTTTCCTTGAGTAAACTATTAAGCACAAATCTTATCTAGGTTGAAGATATTTAGTAAGTTTGTTACAATAACTCAGCACGTTGACTTTAGAAACTGTTACATATTTTTATACCGATACCTATCGCCACCATTTCATCGAAATGTTTATGTTCATGTATCTTACAAAATTTTTGAGATTTAAAAGTATGCAAACAAAAAATCTTAGTTACTTTAATTATCGTAGTTATCATTTTTGTATTGGGTTTATAAGAGTTTTTTATGGTAAAAGAAATAATACTAGACAACACAGGACTTTTCAATCAGTTTTAACATATTTGTGTAAAAAAGTAAAAATGTACGGTCTTACAATGCTTCTTTTGGATAATCTTAGCATATCGGAGGTCTGAATTTTTTCTTTCACTTACTATCGTTCACAACAAAATATTTAAGCTTACAAATTCAACATTACAACGTCTCTTCAAAAAAAAAATCTGATATAAAAATACAAATGAAGATCTTGAAAAAGCAGTACTTATGCAACTACGTGTTGCATTTGCAATTCGGTCTTAAAGGTTATGCCATTAAACAACGGTATAGTGGCGTAGTACAGACGACGTATACTACGTTTGTCCGTGAGCTATACCAATTTGGTATGAGTCCCGAGTTAACTTAGTACATGAGATTCAATACTTCTGCAACGCCTTAAGGGTGCTACTGTAGTATAAAGCAGAAGCTTTAGTAGTAGGTTGCACGATCTACAGTTGTATACAGGTCTTTATACTACCGTAGCAGACTCTCGATACTACCGTTGGGTTCCACGGGCACTACTGTAGTATGTTACGCACTGTACTCCGGTAGTATGTAGATACGCATACTACCATAGCATCAGAGCTCTCTCCGTGCATAGGAAGAAGAAGGAATCTAAAAGTCGACTAAATAGGTGGCTATCTTCAAAACGCCAGTAAGCCGGCGTTTATTTTTAGAAATCGATCTAAAATGCAATTCACGATATTTTAACCCAAAAATGATTTCTCTGTATGGCAAAAAAGGAGGCTATATCAATTAGTTGGTTAATATTTCTAAATTTTTTTGATTTTCATGTGTTTAATATTTCATTAATAAATTTAACAACTATTTTTAAAAATATGAAAAAAGAGTTTAAAGTAAATAACGTAATTAAAAAAATCATACACATAATTTATTTTGATTATCATAAAAGTGTAAATTTAGTTGATTAAAAAATATATCACAATTGATTTATTATAACTTAAATATTTCTTTCTAAACAACATTTCTAATGTATTCTTTAGTTTCAGATTCTGTTTGATTGATGTTATTTGATTTTTTAAGATTTAATCCAACTCTATCGGAACTTTAACCATGTAATTAATTTATGGTTTTTGAAAATGCCATCATTAAAGAAAATTGATTTTTGTATAAAAAATAGTAAAGAAGAGGTATTTTCTGTACTTAGAGATATTTTAATAAAACGGTATTTCTATTTTTTCTATTTAGTAATGATTTCTGTTAACACTATTTTTCTTTAAGAGGTTGGCGCCTGTGGCACACTTTTCTATAAATATATATATATATGGGTGAGTGTGTGTGTGTGTGTTTCAGGTCACCAGGACAGTTTACTGGCCTAACGATCACCACCGAGGCCACTCATTTACCACCTTGAATAGCACAAGCGATAACTAATAGTAAGAGTGTCAATTTTGTGGTAAGGACAAACTAGGTAACCAGTTTTTTAGAAGTAAAAATTAAGTTCAAAAGCTGAAATGAGTACATGGCTGGTAAACAAGTAAAATTAAGTCTAGATAAAGATATAAAAGATTTGAGAAAAAGTAACATGAAGATAACAAGAGAAGTACTCATACTAAAGAAATTTCTGGAAGAGTCTAGCAAATACACAGAAGACATTTTGTCTATCGGAGCGAAAAATCAATGAGGTCGTGATTTCTGTGTTAGACAGAAAAAAATTCAGCAGAAGAAAATTTAAACTATTGATGTTACTAGACTATAAAAAATTTAAACAACAAGTTACCAGAGCGAGAACAAACGCAGACACAGAAGCTGCATAGAATAAAGGTGACCATAGAGCAAGAGCGATTATCACAAGTACAGTATCAAAAAGATAACTTGAATACATAAAGGAAAGCAGGATGGCATTGGTGATGATGCAAAAATTAAAAAAAATATATAGACTAAATCTACAGCATTGCACATGATTAATCAAGAAAGTTAAAAAAAATAAAATAAATAAAGAGTAATAAAATAAGATAAAAAACTTTTAAGAAATAGCAGAATTTTGTTGAGTTTGAGCGAACAGTAAATGGAATTGAGGCTGCTGAAAGAAAAATAACTGAAACTGAAAAAATGAGATCCATCAAACTTTCAATAAGGTGCTCAAACCAAAGACATGCAGCGAAGAAAAGGTAGCTGTAGAGGTAACAGCAGGGGCAGAAGTACATACAAGGAAAATAGCTGAGGCAGAGGCTACAGCAACAAGCGAAGAAAATCAACAATAAAAGCAAGACTCGTAATATGCATGCAGCGTGCAAATCGAGTACGATAAGAGAGAATCAAATAACTGTTCAGTACGTAACAAATTAAATTAATTACTCGACAGTGATAGTACCGACCTTATTATATGAACATAATGTCGTAAAACATCGTATAAAGAAACGTGTAATGACCATACGATATGGATACGATTGTTTTTCTTCTTTAAAAATTGCATATAAATTCACAAAAATAATTGTATCCACGGACGTTCTAATTCAAGTACGTGAAAAAGTACTTGCCAGTTCATCAACAGACTTCATAACTTACTTATGCACGATTTCTTTATATTAGTAACTACATTATTAAAATTTATAATAGATATAACTG